TGCTTCTAATTTATTTGTAGCACAGGTAATACCATACCAATCATATGACTGCTAGTAATGCACTCAAAACCAATTAATTTAATCATAATAATTTAATAATATTAATAACAAAATTATTTATCTAACACACATATGCATCTATGCATTTGAGATGTATGTATAAACACATAAAAATACATTTTCTCATGGATCTTAGCTTCATTTTTAATACTACACTGTACATATTAAAAGCCTGAGAAGTTAATTTCATTTGTCACATAACCAGATTCTCACTTAGCAATATTCATGCTGTCTTATTTAAATATGCATCATTTTAAGGACCACAAGCTGTGCTTGTATGGATTCAGTGCAGGACTGAGCCTACTTAGGGAAATTAGAAATTGCAGAGTGATGTCATGGTAGCTTTCTGTCAGAAAACTTCTGACCACAGTCGTAATGATGGACTGGTAACACTCACCTGCAGAATCCAACCTTGTTCCTTGTAAATCCTCCTTAAAAGCTGTGGGACCTCAGACCCTTGTGATCAAACAGCTACATAGTTAAAGGGTGATGGATCCATCTAACAATTAGGTAACAAATTAAATCATAGACAAAAGACACTCCTGTCTGCATTTTAGCTACTGGATATTTGTGTCACATTTTCAGGAAACTAATATGGGCCAAAGCTTGCGAACATTAAATGCACATGTGCCTGAGGACTTTGCAGGGGACTGACTGCCTTGGCAGGGTAAGGTGACTTCAGCTCCATGGTGCTTCAGCAGGATGTGTCTTATATTCAAGGGAAATTACTTAAAACTGTCTTAGTATCTCTGTGGCAAACAGCAACCGCAACAGTCTCCATACCACCAGCCTTCCACATATGATATTACAAAGGTTAGGCTGGGTCTACACTTCATTTTTTTACTGGCACAGCTACAGGTCTTGGGTGGGAATGAGGGAGTTACATCCCAAATAAAATTGTCAGTGCTAGCAAAAGTCCTGCTGTTATTATAGTTCATTGTGTTTGAGCAGCTAGCATAAACATAATTAAAATAGGTCCTTTCTCAATACAATCCATATATCCATCTGGAAGGCTTGCCTTCTTAGCTTTGCATTTTCTCATTTGCAGATAAGGACTGTTTTGCGGTGTTAGGCAATGCTTATAAGCATTTTTTCAGATTCTCTGTTATGAGTCATTGAGGACCACCCAGTAAAAACCAGTATTACAGTAATTTTATTTCTTTGTCAAAACATGGATACTCCCAGAAGAAAGGTTAGAAGTTATGCCAAGAAATAGCATACTAGCCCAAAGTAGTAATAACAGAAATAACTCTGTTACCTCCTGCATAGCTAAATATCTTCATAACTATTCAGGTCTCATAACTTTTTTCAACCAACAAAACAAACAGCAAGAAGCATAAACAAAAACCCCAATCAAATAAAAACCCCAAAGGCACAAAGCTGTTTTCACCCCACTAAAATGTCTTTCATTCTCATTTTCATGAGTATATTTCTAGCTGTTTCTGTTATGGAAGCTGATCCAAAAAAAAGGGTTATTTTTATATGTGGAAAATGAATTTCTTTCAGTCTGTTTATTCTGTGGAGAAGCTTCAGTAATTTATTTACCTTGTCATTTATCTTCAAAGTTCTCTGAAGTGACTGCAGTTCTTATTGACCTAAATATTCCAAGTCTCTAATGTGGTTTTGTTTTTAGATGCACCCTTTTGTGAATGAAGTCTGGGCTGTTCAGCTATTTAACCATCTGTTATCCTCCAAAATTAGATTCTTAAAATGTCTAGGTACAGTCTCAGAAGTAGTAATGAGCATTTAAAATTCTGCTCCACAAAGTCCTAGTCCTTGTGGTCATTTGATCCTATTATCAGAGGAAGTTGGGATGGAAGTCTAAACCATCTTTTGGTTTATTGTAATATCACTTATAATGCTGCACAGATGTCCACATACAAACTGCCCATCTGTCAAGGTTTATATTTACACAGCTAAAGAGATTTCAGTGTGGATTCCTGTCTTCCTCCCAAGCAGTCATTCTGTGTTGGTGTCTGTTTCTTTTTATTGCTAGATTTATTGTCAGAAATAATTTTTAAAATATCAATCTGAAAAATTTCTCTTCTTAAAATTGATTTAGCGTTCTTCTATTTCTCCCTTGCAGTCTCAAAACAACTCCTTTTGCCTTTTCCCAGGTTTTTGATGACAGAACAGACATACAATAGGAGAGGGAAATGTTGTTGTTGTCCAGTAGAAGGGCAGATGTTAGTAACTGTTTCAGTCTGTTGTTTTGCTTTAGTTCTCAAGCAATTGAAAGCATCTGCATCATCTTGCTTGAATTCTTATTAGAGTCCACCTCCTATTTTTATTTTTTTCTAACTTCAAAGAAATATAGTACCTGAAGTTTTCCAGTCTTCCTTCATGAGATGATTTTGTCACATTCTCTTTGCAATATTAGGACCTCAGTAGTTGCTTTCCATATTGTTAGTTCCTGCGTGTCAGGACCTGTAACGAAGCTGGTTTTGCCAAGAGCTATTCTTGGTTTTGCCAAGAGCTATTACAAAATTATTTCCGATGACTCATGTTCTGATTATGGTTACAAAATTATTTCTGGTGGCTCAGTCCAATGTGAAATGGTTTTAGCCCTGACAACAGCATCCTGTGGCAGTGGGGCTCAGGTCAGACAGCCTCCTCCAGCACTCAGGATGTTGATCAAGTGAGGATTTAACCAGAGGACAAAATCAAAGGACAGTCAAATTTAAGTTGCTTATACTCCTGGCACTGAAGAAATGCTTCATAAACATATAATTTGACCATATAAGTCAAGGCAATGCCAGGATGTCAGCCTGCTGGTAGTGGCCTGCATCAAGATCAAATGGTTCTGTGGCTGGGGAGCAGCATGGTGTGACAGCCCATGGACAGGGACTCAAGGCCAATAAAAGCTGGTTGTGCACTCAGGGCTCTGGCAGGGAATATATTCTGATGAAGCAACTTATCTATTTTATGTATTTATATATTTAATGGGTTCATACTTAAAAAACAACCTGTCAGTGTCTTACAATATAGCTTTAGTAGTGGCTTTAAACTGAAAGAGAGTAGGTTTGAATTAGATTTTAGGAACACTTTTTTTTTTTTTTACTGTAGGGGTCATGATGTGCCAGAACATGTTGCCCGCAGAAGCTGTGATGCCCCATCCCTGGAAGGTTGGATGGGTCCCTGAGCAACGTGGTCTAATGGGAGTTGTCCCTGCCCATGGCAGGGAGAGTTGGAACTAGATGGTCTTTAAGGTGCTTTCCAACCCAAGTCATTCTATAAATTCCATTAATATTATCCACCTAAAGACCCCATCCAATGGTTACTGGACTCGGCAAGGTTAGTGGCCAGGGCACCAGAAGGAGAGGTGGCAGGATAAGGTGACACACTGAGAACAGATCAAATTATAAGAGATAAAATGCTACTCTAATAATATTAGTGGGAAAACCTTATGCTGTTACCTATTTTTCCTTACCAAACATGGGTTCTTCATAATATTTTGTAGGGACAGATTTGCTTTAGAAGCCATTTGCTACTTTGCATTCCAACCTTGCTTTATCTCTTCTGTCAGACCCCAGCTATAATTAAGTTCACAGATTCACATTAAAATAATCACGGGAATCAAAACATTTCTACTTTATGCTCCTGTGCTGACTGTTATTTGAGGATCACACAGTGTTTCACCACTGATAATTAATCTTTCTGGGAGCTCTTTGACACAACAAGAGCTATTATTCAGGAACAGTGATTAATGAAAAGAATGCCATGAAGATGTACAGCACCTGTCAAGATCAGGGAGCTGAGCTGAAGCCAGAGCACAGTTGCGCTGAAGAACCTCTGACAGCCTCTCTCTGTTGCTCAGTTTCCCCACTTGAACAACAATGCCTTTCTTGCTGTGAAGTGTTCAAGACTTATCAAGAAAAACACTTCAATGAAGAGTTTGGTATTAAGCTTTTTAGATGGGAAAATAAACAGATGCAGAACAAGAGCATCTTGAGGCTTACTCGATAGAGCACAGTAATACTTTTCTGTTTAGGGAAGTCATGACATGTCAAGACTTTTTGTCAGTTTGTGCCAGCTGATCTTGTATTTGGAATGCAAACACAAGGATGATGCAGTTTCAGCCTGGATGAAAACTAATGGATACATATTCTGCAAAGAGGTGTTTCTTGAACACTGTGTATTAAAAGGAAAGTGGCAGATTGTAGAGTTGAAAGTAAAACTCACATGAATAACTGTGTGTGTTCTGTTCAAAGTTGTCTGCTTCAGTTTATATATTTTAAACATTTTCGAGTTTTATTTACCTGCTAATTTCAAAAGTCAGGGTGCTAATTGCCCTGCTTTGACATTTAAAGACATTATGGTCACCTAACACAGAACAGGAAGGATTTTTTTTTCTCACTTCTCAGACTTTTTAACGTACAGGGAAACTAAATTAAGTAAACACATCTTAATATCTTTTACTTCTGGCCCATGTCACAAGAAGAATTAAAAAAAGAAAATTGATTTGTGTTACAAGTGATCACAGGTTTGCCAGTAAAGCTGCTCTCTGAAGCTGTGCTAGTAAAATAATAATGAAGATATTAAAAATTCTCACCTAATGATTTTGGTTTGCAAGTACCACACTGAATGCTATTTTCAGCTGTCTCCTGGCAATAGTCCTGTGCCCTATAACAGGCAACCTGTGTTCTTCAAAGGCATGTTTGCACAGCAGATGAATATAGATAACATGAGAGAGCAGCTTCTCCTTGCACTACCCGAACAAATAACTTCTTTGAATTAAATGAGCCCATCTCTCACAGTCATTCAGGACTGCACAGCACGGGGATGACAGCTGACAGCTTGTTCTGTGCCTGCTCCAGTTTGGATGGGGGGTTTTTTGCCTCTTACTGGTGTTCTGGCTCTGTACAGAGCCCTCAGGTCTGGAGGTCATGGAAACCTGTCCACTGACTTAGTGTCTCTTTTTTTTGTCACATTCCTTATAGGTCAAGGCGATTTTGATTTAGCTGATGCCCTTGATCACCCAGGTATGTAAATCTCACGTCCTTATTTTACTATGGCATTTACACCCATAATAAATCTTAAGTCTTTTTCATTGAGGAATGGAATATGAAGTGGCTACCACTTAAGTTAAAGAGATACAGAACTAGAAAATGCTAGATTTCAATGTTTCTGTCATAAAATGAAAGACTTCTTTAAAATAAACAAACAAAAAATGGCTTTGAAAACACATCCCTTCATTTTTAGCTTCTGCTGTGATAAACAGCTGTCTAGATTTGCAGATATCTGCTCTTGTTAAGTTGAAGCTTATTGTTTATTGGTGTGTCGTTGTGTCCACCAGATGACATAATTACAAGGAAGCCTACGGTGATCAGAAGACCCACAAGGCCTGTGCTGAGTGAGTAATAATGGGTCACAAAGCTGATTTTGTATATGTAAGAAACTGTCTCATGAGATTCTTGATAATTTTTGCTACTGTACTTTAGCTGAGATTATTTAAATTATAGCTGTCTTCTTTATATAAAGTAAGTGGTTTTTTCACAGTTACCATTTACAAGTCTTTACCACTTCCAATAAGGCTTTACAGCCTAACTGGCCAGTGATATTTGAATTGGAAAATGCTGGATAACATTAACCCACACAACAGCTTTCGGTCTTTTTCTGGATAAACAGTGCAGTAAGACTTGCGATACACAAAAGCAGTTATATTTTCCACACAACAAAAGGCTTGCTCTTTGAACAAACAGGGGCAGCATTTTGTGAATGTGGTAGCTACTGGATCCTTTAGTAGTTGCATTCTTCCTTCCCACTTCATTTGGCCAAGAAAATCTGTGTTTGGCCTATATTAGAAGTCTCTGTCTATTTTAAAATACTGCACTAATTGTGGATTTGATCTCATCCTAATGTGAACATTTCAAGTAAGTTACCTGAATTGTGCCTAAAATACTCTGTCCTTGGTCACATTTAAAGGTAGCTTAGGTATTCCAATATCTGCACTGAAGCTGCCTCAGTCAGGTGAAATGAATTTGATTTTTAAGGACTCAGAAATCTGTTTGAGATGTGACTGCCAAATGATTTGAATCCACTGCACTAATTCTTGAGAAGGAAGAACTCCACATTTTACAGACCATTCGGAATCTCTTTCAGCACTGGAGAGGTTTGCAGAGAGTTTTAAAAAGCCCAAGCCCACAGTGTTAAAAATCAATTATTGGATTTGGAAAGTGCAGAAAAATGAAACAATAGTATGTTTCAGCATCTGCCTAATGATTCATCTTAATGTCAGGGTTGCCTCTATGTCTCGTTCAGTCAATACCATTGAGAGGTGAGGCTGGCTGAGATTTTTGGTCAGTTGAGGCCAATTACTACACAGGCCATGTCCTCTGGGCATCCCACACATTTCTGCCTGAGCTGAAGCTCTCCAGTAGGTACCTTCCTAGTGCAACAAAATTCATCACAAAATTTAACAGAAGGTAACATTTATTTACAAAATCTCAAAATAACTTGATTTTACCCGCTCACATTCATCCTGCATTTGATTTAATTAAGCCATATCCTCAAACCCATGTGCTCATGAGCACCGAGGTATATGTGCTTAGGTGGTCTGGTGAGCATCATGTGCAATATGGGACAAGATATGCTAGCTATTGAGCTCTTATCCTGTCTCTGAGGTTCTTCGTGATCAGGAATGACGAGCTTGTTTATGTACAGATCTTTTATATCCTTTAGGAGAAATCAGGTATTATGGAGAGGTTCTTTTGCCTCATAATATTTTTTACTTCATTGTCTCTGAACCCTATGCCAGGTTGCTGCCCACTATCTGGTTTTGCTTGTTTGGAATACACAGACTATGTCCAAGTCTTATTTTCTGGATGGATGATCAGGAAAAGTAGTGATATGCTGCAACCTTTGGTGTAGAAATTCTTTCTGCTTTTCCTCTGCTGACAAGTCATCTGTACTGTCATCTTATCAGAACATAGGCCAGCTGGTTTTGACAGAAACAACATATTCCTCAGTTTTATGGAGGGAATAGTGACCTTTATTGTCTCTTCTTTTAACACTTTGCTGATTTTTATGGTCCCTACAGACATGTGCATTTCCATTTGTATTTCATTCATATCACCCTTAGCATTTATGCAACAAATCTCTGCATGAACCCTCCAGAACAGAACCCTAAATTTTACATGAATTCTTCATATCAATAATAAATTGAATCCAGTTTTCAATTTATTCCTTCTCTCAGTGTTACTATTTGACAGGTAAAGGTATTTTTGAAATGCAACTCTCTTCTGGCCAGACACAGGGAGGATCAACACCTGACAAGAACAAACCAAATTATGTAGAATGAATTTGATCACTTTCCTGCCAGATTTCTTGTGACACCAAAACATTTCTGAGTTGCCACACAAATGAGACTAGATAACTAGATATTGTGCAAAAGCAGCTTCTCACTCCTGCTGGATATAAAGAACACAAGAAGGCAGATTTCTGGGTGGTGATTTGGGAATTCTAACACAATTATAATGAAAAATATATTTATTTAATTGAGAGTCTATCGAATTGTCTGTGGCAATAAGCACTGGTGTCAAAATTAAGTTAGGTTTTGCTGTCCCATTTCTTCTGATTTATTGTAGCATTCCACATTTATAAGTGTAAAGAAAGGGATTCTTGGAGTTATGGCATCCATCTAATGTATTTTTCTCAGAACTCGCCATCATTCCATATACACCTTAAAATATCACCCACACACTCATATCCACATCCGTATGTTGGAAACAGAGTTCCTCTTTTTGCATCTGCAGCTCATAGACAAGTTGTTTATTGGATGGAAAATTCCATCCCAGGTACAGCGAGACACATGTACAGTGATGGGGCAATGGTTGCAGCCTGTTGATTTTCTGTGTAACATGCACATGCAGACATTTAAGTCTATTTTAAAACCTTTCTAGCTCAGGCAGAGAAAAACTAGGCTATCACTCAACCTCAGACAGGTGCATTGGAATGCCTGATTCAAAATTTTTATGTCACCATGACCCTTACATAGATTAGTTGATTCAATCTCTCTCTTCAAGTAGGTTTATTTCTTCCTAGTATTTGTTCTTGAAATGGGTATTCAGTTTTTGGAGTTCAATAAATTACACTTACACCAAACATACATATACCAGTTTTAACCACAGACATAGGTGTTGACAATTTAGCATATTTAAAAAATAGATACAGCACAACATATTTTAAAAATAGGTTTATTATGTTAACATAGCAAATTTTATTTGTGTGCTTGCAGATATATTAGAGGTATTGATCTTGATTCAACTATAAGATTTATTTTGACATCATTTACAGAAGAAAAAAACTCTTTGTATTTTGAGTAGAAAATACTGTATCATTTGTCAATTAGTGTGCAGAAACTACTAGATTCTATTAGAGTTTTAAAGAAAAGTGTAATAGCTTAGGTAAGTTTTTGGGACTAACCTGAAAAAGGTGCTTGTCAAACATTCAGTTGCACATGTTCTATTAAAACTAACATTTCATTTCCCACAAGAGTTGTGTCTAACTCACTTTTCTGCATCTTCCTCCAATTCATTTTTAGACAATGATCTACATTTAGGAGATGCTCTTGGTGGGGGTAAGTACTCTCTTCTTTCCTCAAATACAATGTTGGCATTTTTTGTAGTCTTTTTCTCAACTCTGCCTAATTTGTGAAAAGAGATTGCAATACTGTGGGAGGAGCTATGGTAATGAGAGTCATTCCAGCTCCTGTACATGCAGCCCTTCTGCCCAAGGCCATCATGCAGAGTGGGGACAGCATCTGGTTGCCAGCTACCTAAGAGCTTCAAGACTGGCCTACCTGCATGAACTGAAGTCAGCTGTGGCTTACATTACCATGATAGACCACCCCAGGAATGGCTGGGGGTGGGGAGCTTGGCCCATTCGGTTGGGATGGTTCAGGAAGGTGTCCTCTGACAGAAGTTTGAAGACAACAGGTGATGGCTGTAGTTTCTTCAGCTACCAAAAATGAATCTGCCTAAGATTAGGAATCAGAGGTAACAGTGGATGGAGAGGTTTGAGCTTCTTGTAACTCTAGTGATGGCAAATTAGAAATTCAGGAAGGAATGTTTCAGAGATGAGCACTGCTGATACAGCTTAAGCTTGAAGAAGTCCAACTGTTGTAATATGCTGTTAACTGCCAGGTATTTCTGTAACACCCAGACCTGACCTAGGAAGTATTCACAGTACTGTACAGAAGCATATAAATTCTTGGCTTTAGGAATTTTTACACCACTTGTTTAGTGTGTTTAGAGATATACCAAGGATGTGAAGTACTCTAGATAGGTTCTTGTACACTCAAATTATCCAAAATGCAAGTAGTATTGAATCAAAGCCTAAGGTTCCGCTTGAATCACAGTCACACAAAGGAAAAATTACTTCTTAGCCCATCGCACAGAACTTGCCTCAGTGGTCTGGTTTAGTAGTTTCGATCTTAGAGAATGACACCTTTTATATTGTGTTTTCCCATTTCCAGGTTCCCCAGTGGCACTTCATGCCTGTGGTTTATTAGTCCACACATTCCGAAGATTAATTTTATTAATAATTCCCATGTGTATATTGTCATTTATTCCTGCCCATACTAATTGTTTAATTCCTGCAAGTTATTAATGAGTACTGTTATGAGAGGATGGGTTCAGTATATTGAGTAAATTATCAATTAATAGCTTAAGTATCTTCAATAAACCCAGTGTTTTCACTCTGAGGATGGCAAATGATGTTTCCCTTGTTTTTTATTTCTTTGTTCCATTTACAGCTCAGGTTCTTAATTGACATTCATACATGGTATAATGAGGTTAGGGATATGTATCTCATTATCAGTATTTCTGAATACATTATTTTTCATTAGCTGTGACATGGAATATGTCTTTTTATCCTTAGAGAAGGCTGAATAAGTGCAGGAACACAACAGAAATGAAAAATGGGATTGGTAGTTTTCAGCTTTTGTGCCATAGTGAGTCTTAGTTCATTACACAGAGAGCTGAAACAGAGCAAGTCCCTTCTTCCATTGAATATAATTCATTGGACGAAGTCTGATTCAGCAAAGTTTTAAGACTTTACCTAAAATCCATTAGCTGTAGGCTATACTCACAAGAAGTTTAGCACAGATCTAAATAATTTGCTGAATCTGAACCTTAATGCTACTTAGAAACAGAAGCATACTATTTAGCAGCTAGGCAAGAGAAAACATGTTGAAAGGGCATCTGGCATGTTTGGAAGGTGAAAGAAAGATTTAAGGAGGGGGAGAGAAAGTTCTATTTATTTCTGTGACCTAATTTTGATTTAGTCAGAGCTAAATTCTCTGTCTGGCTATGAGAACAGTTAAATATGTGACTGAACTGGTTGAAGAAAGAATTGCAAGAGAGGACATACTCTACATACGCAGAGCAACAGCCCTGGACATTAAATTTTGCAGGTTTTGACCTGAGTGACCTCTTGCTACTCCAGCACTGTATGTGCAGTTTGGAAACTGCTATGAGTCAGATCTCCTGCTCTAGCCAATGCATCTCTTTCCAATACTATGGCAAATGCTAGCACAAAGTCCTAAAAAAAAATGAAGCTGAAGTCTGAGTTCATTTTGCAGAGTTCAAGAGCAGAAATTTCATCATGCATTAGATAAATTCAGCATCTGTTAGGTGAAACTAATCTGCAGATTTTATTAATACCTGCTGATGGCACATACATGACCTGTTACCTCTGGCCCAGCCTGGAACACCAGCTTCTTTGTCAGCTCTGCAAAACTGAACCACTGACACTCAACTAACACATTGTATCTCCGAGCTGTCAGCATTAAACAGCATTAGCACTTGCCAGAAATACATTAAATATTTTCCTTCAACATTTTCATGAATTCTTCTCATGTTTTAATTTAGAAAACATTCCCCGTTCACTCCCAAATCAGTTTTAGTAGCTAGCTATTTGTTGATATAATGCTTAAGTAGTTTTAACTAGTGACAAGGTCCTTTTCTTAATTCGCTGGAGGACAAATTAGAAATAGGTAGAAAATCTCAAATTATCATACTTTTTATTTAAAGTTCCCAGTTTTGCCCATTCAACCATCTAACAATATTAATTATCAATAGGTGACATCTCAAGAAAACCTCTATACCCACCTCTTCCACCACGACCAGGAAGTTATAGTAATTCTGGTAAGAATATTTTCTCCTAAGAAAATCTAGCCCTATGAACTGTTCAGAGCAGATATTTTTAAGACTTTACTCTCTTATTTCTTTATTAATAGCTTTTATCATCCTTTCCCATCATCTCCCTTTTTAATGACTGTTCCAGTCTTTGGAAAGATTTTCTGAGCTTTAGTGTTGGTACCATAAAGATTTTCTGTCTGCCCAAAATGTGAGATACTGGCTTCTAAGTGGCATGAGACTAACACTTTGTTTACATTTTTGTTTTGGGCGTGTATACACTGCACTATGAGATGGTTCAAATTTGACATCTAGCCACAGGATGTGGATAAGTCTGTGTTCAAATCTGTACTGAGATGTACATCTGAGATGGCTCTGGGGCATCCAGCTAGTGGGACTGAGGAGAGGGATGTAAACCTGTATTGTTTTGAGTGTGATCCCGGACATCCACTTAAATAAAATGAAATCGGCACATCTATCCTGGCTACCACCATGTATCCTGTATTTACTTCTAGTATGACTGTAGTGGTGAGCCATGGGCATGTCCTTCTGGAGTCTTTCTTAGAAAGGACCCATTGACTTTCTGCTTCAGGAACCACTGGAATTCGAGATGTCAATATTATATAAGGATATGTGCTACTGAGAGCCCAAGTCCACATATCCCACAGGTGGAGAACAGGTACCAACAGTGTTAGTGCTTCAGCTTTCAGGTGAATTTGGGTAGGTGACCATTCAGTGCAAGACAACCCAAATACTGTGTCGAAGTTGGGATTTCAGAGGTCTCTCATGCTTCCCTAGAACATTAAAAAAGGAGTGGACAAGGGAACTGGAGGGGTTACATTGATTGGATAATTTTGCAACCAGAATCTTAATCTTCATCTTGCAGGAGGTTTTGATGACTCAGATCTCCTTGATGGGAAGCCTTTACCACCGGTTATAACAGGTAGCATTTCCCAATTCCCCTTGCATCTTCTTCCTAACACTTGTACATCAGAGCTGTTTGGTTTTGCTTTAGTGGTAATCTGTTTGTCTCTGAGGGACATTTTTATTTAGATTAGCTATTCTTCACCAAAAAACATGGTTATGAGCCTGAAGCTAAAACTTGAAACATACTCCTAAACATTTTGTAGCATTCTGGCACATGGCAGAACCCTGCCGGATTTATCCCTTTGAATTCAGCTAGGACAGTCCCAAAGCAAGGGGTTTCTGCCCAGAACTGAAAGCAGATGCACCAGATCTTGACTTAAATTACAGATAAGTCATCTGATTGTCTGGTAGCACAGAATAGCCAGAGCATACTGGCCTCCCACTCCCTGTGAAATCAGTTTGATGCAGACTGCTAGGTATGACACTTCTATTAGATGATAATATTCTTCTCCAAAAATGAAGTCTCAGGAGGATGAAGTTACTCCTCCAGTCAGCACAGCTGTCAGTGAGGACTAAATGGGAGCTCCTCTTTGCGGTCCTGTCAAGCTGCACCTTTTGCCCTCTTATACAAAATCATACTTTGCTGAGCAAAAGGCTGAGTTCTCAAAACAAGTTGACAAACATTTCTTTGATGAAACTTCACCCTCTATTCCAGGAGAAGAGGAGCATCATTTCAATCATGGAGGAAACACAGGTATAGAGTAAATCATTTATTCTACAATTCATTTCTGATCATCATGATATAGAAAAACAATGTTAGCCTTATAAAAGTAGCATATATACTAAATTAGGCTTTAAGACAACATTTTCACACCAGCTGTAATGTAACATAATTTCTATTCATCTGCTTAATTCTATTGTTTCACCAAACAGTTCTCACAGTTTGGTAAAAGCATACTTTAGTAGACAGTATGCTTAAGTCAAACTATTTCAATGCCTCTGAAATAAAAGCCAAACCTTTCTTTTTCCACAGATTCAGGATTAATAGCTGGAGTTACATCGCCTGTAATTTCTGCCTTTGTAATATTGGTTGTTGGATCGATAGCAGCCTACTCTGCTTACAAGAATAAGAGACTTTGTTTCAAACCACGTGGTAAGACCAAATCAGTTTCCCACTGATTTAGTTCTCAAGTAGATGGGAATTTGATAAACAATTTGAGTGGGGGCAGAAACAGGGCAGGAATAAAGGCATTTAAAAATCTTGTCCTAATGAGCCTCATTGGTCTCTAAGACACACTGGTAATTAATATTCTTCATCAAGGAGAAGCCATAACATGCCCAGAAGATGGATATACATCACTTTGTGAAGGAAATTACAGGGTGTGAGGTCAATGCCACCACAGAAGTGCCTGACTGTTGTGGCTCTGCATGTGGAAAACAGCCTGGTTGCCTCAGATCAGCCTCCCCAGGGGTACCCCATGTACCCTCTGGCCAGGACCCGCATTTTCACTCTGGTCTGGATAGGCTTCCTGCCCCAGGCTGTACCACATCCCCACACACCTGTCCCAGCCTTGAGTCCAGGTGGCTGGCTGGGTGTCCTGGCTTGGCCTGTGGCCTGACTAGTTGCCTTGTCTTCACCTGATGATGGCTGGCCCAGTTGCCATCACCACTGCTCTGTGCACACCCACCACCAGGGAGGCAACAGCCTGGGCCATGCGCTGGCTGCCCTTGGCTCGTGGTTCTGTGGGAACAGCCTGGGCCTGGCCCTTTGCTGTCATAGAGGGCAATTTAAATCTCTAATTCACATTATATGTTCTCTAATGAAACTAATAGCTAAGAAATAAGTGGAATGCAGGAGAAGCTTCACAGGCATTTCTAAGAGATCTGTGTAATCCCCTGGCACTTCAGGAAGTCTAGGAGTACCGTGGCAGGCTCCAGGGCAGCTGCTGCTGCTTAGGCACTGTGGGAAGGCTTGGGCAGGGTTACATAGGGGAAATCCAGCTGTAATATAGCCCTGGACGCCCTGGAAGAGGCTGGTCAGGGCTGTGAAGGCTGTTTATGCCCTCAGGGTCCCTAAAGTCACTCATTTTCCCTCCGTTTCTATGGCCAGAATGTGACTAAAGCATCAGGTCAGTGATCCCACAGCCCTCTAGAAATGGGGAGTGAGACAAATGGGGAGGGCTGTCCATGTGTCTCTGGGGATACAAGGTTCTACCTGTTGTCTCAAGCAAAAAATACTCTGAAAAGCTGGCAAAGAGCATCCACAGTGGAAATACTGAATGTTCAATCTTAATTTTTCAGGTGGGGCTGCAGTGTAAACCACTGAAGGAAGAGTTGCCCTCTGATCACAGGCTCCTTTGGTTGGTGACATTCTACTGTGCTGTTCTGACAAAAAAAAAATCTTCTTCTAATGAATGTTTTGTCGAGACTGCTTTCTCTAACTTGATGTCACTTTTGTGCCTTGAGCTTCATGTCATCAAAGATATGCTTAAAACATTGAGGGATTGTATTGCACTATCTCATGTGCATTTATAAAGGTTGGTTATGGATTTTGACTCAGAAATTATTTTAAACAATAAAGAAATCAAGTGCATTATAAGCTAAAAATGGAAAGTTTTGGGTTTGTCAGCATTTGAGTTATCGAACAAATTTCTTTTTCTCTTTTCAAAATTACCCAAAACAGAATCCCTCTGATAGAATAGGAAAAAGGAGTTTGCCATTTTCATTCATGCATGTTGGGTTTCTTCAGTATATTTCTGTAATATTTATAATATTTAAGGAAAACTTATAGTTGTCTAAAGGATTAAAAATTTTACTGCCTTTACTTTGTATTTATGTCTGAATTTTAGCAAAGTGAAAGGAAGGATAGGTAGAAAATTCATTCTTAATTTTATAATAAATTGAAAAAAATATGTATATTGACAAACCACTTTAAAAAATAAAAATAAGAGAAATACATGCTGATTTTATTTCTGTATTTATTTATTTAATTACTTAATTACTGAAATGGTGTTTAGCTTTTCTCAGGAACTAGAATTTCACATTAATTTAGTTTCTCTTTTTGAAAACTTAGGCCTTGCTCTAGGAACCTTTGAATGCACTAATCTGGAAGCTGTTTTTTTTAAAAACAACATATTATTCATAGCTTCTGAAAAGGGACAATGGGTACAAAGCTTTCTGATTCATTGAGAATGGGTTTGTGACACTTCATTCTCTAAAATCTAAGTCATAACTTTTAAACTTTATACATATGTGGAGGTGTGGTTGACATAGTTTTTCTAGCAAAACTGTTTCATCTTTTTGCCTCATTCCTAATCAACCTTGACAGTCTCACAAATGTCCTTCTGTAGATAAATCTATCACAAAAACTAACACTTTTCCAGTCTCTCTGACTTCATTTAGATAACTGAATCAAAATACCAGCAAATAAGTGAAATACAGATGAGAGATGACAAAACTATTAATTTACTGACAATACTTCCATTTTAGCTAACTTTTTAAAGCATAAGGCAATCACTATGTTGTTATCTTAATTTTGTATACAAAGCATGGTTTTGCTACCAAAATTCCATTTAGATGAAGGTAAACATGACTTTGTATTTATTAAATTGTTGAGAGGAAGACATAAACTGGAAAAGTACTTTTTTCTTAAAGTAGAATACTATTTATCTAAATTATTTTTAAAATGGATATATATCAGTTTCTTAGATTGTCACAATCTTTATTCTGATCCTGAAAGTAAGAAATTATAATGTACATCAGTTTAAATGTGGAAATACCTTGACAACCTGCAAAAAAATGAACACCTTTGTGGCTATCACTTTCAACTTATGAATGAGAAAATATTTTTAATATAGTTTTCAAGGACACTTGATATTTCTTTTAATATACTAATTTTCCATGTTAATAGTTAGAACAGATTGATGTATATTTTTTCAGGTAGACATAAAGTTTTGATTAATGAAATGTTAAGTCTTTTGCTATTACCACTTCAGTTATTTGTTTAACCAGGAAAATATATATATTTTGTTTCTTTCTCCTGAAAATTTTCAATAAACACATACTGTGTTTTATGTAAGATGATCTAAGTTTTGTTTATTTTGTTTGCTACTTTCCGGGACATATGAGGACTGGTACCTTCTATACACAAGTTCAACTGTGTCCCACTAGGGCAGAGAAAGAAATGCTTCAAACTAATGACAAATTACAGGGAAAAACCAACCAAACCAGCTTAACTATCTATTTTTTCCCAGTACCTGTTTAGAGAAGGATCTACGTGCACTGTTAACATTTTTGCTATGACACTTCATTTAAAATTGCCCACAGTGTTTTCAAAATAATTTATTACTCATGTTAATGTTTGCCCAAAAGCCAATTTATTACAGATAATTTGAGCAAAAACCATGAATCTGAATGGATAAACCCTGCTTACCCAAGTGTTTAACCTTCTGAAGCTCTTTGGTCTAACTACATCAGCATGCGGCCAATATACCAGTGTACAGGCACACTTTTCAGTGTTAATTAATTACCTTTTTAACTAAAAAGGATGATGATGATAACAATATTTTTATAATTATTGTGATAATTATTTCTACTTTTATTTTTTGAGGTAATTGAGGGCTTATGTAGGGAAGATCCAATGTCTTTAAATCTGGAAGGGAAGGGAGGAAGGAATAGAAGCTGGCTGCTGGAACATCAGAACTCGAGCTTGTATTACTGGCTCTGATATTTAAAATCTATTCTATACTGCATAAAAAGTTGGTGACACACAAGTAAAACAGAAAATCATCTAAATTTAGACATCACTTTAATTACCAAGAAAAAGCTTTTGTTGGCCATAAAGTCCCCAAAATGAAATAGATCTGCCAGCGAAATTATCTACAACAGCAATCTTGCTACTGATAAGCATGTTGTTTAGTTGACTTGTCTATATAAGCTGATGGCGAGCACAGATCCCTGAGAATTTTGTTTCTGTGGGCTAAGCTTGATTTCCTATGTGTTTATGTTCTTCCTTTGTTAAGCACCTCACCACTACTAGAGCAATAATACCCTCTTCTCTAGTGGACCTTTGGGATTCTCTCAGTGTGTGAAAGAACAAATGCTGCAGCTTGGAGCAGCAACAGTGATCTCTTGCAAATTGCTGGAAATAAAGTTTTTTAAATAGTTGTGTGGTACCATTAGGTATTTTCTTCAGTGGCACACTATCTGAAGTTCTTGACCTTTGCTAAGTAGTTACTGATGTTCACAGCACGTGGTGATGCAAACATACCTCAGCTGAACCATGCCAGCCTAAACTTACCTTGCAGAGAAATTGTGTGGCTGAATTACATGTCATGGTTACATGACTTCTAAGTCAGTGGCAAAAACATGCTGTGTGAATAACTGTGCATTTATTTATGCATTTCTTAAAATATTTATAGCTCTCTAAATAGCACAAGCTCCCTGAAAACATCTACTTATCTGGGTGACGTTATCACACTGTGTGTATCTGTAAGGCGGTACAATGGCCCCAGAGAGTTACGGGTAGACTCCCTTAAATTACAGTAAACCCCATGTATCTGGGTGACAGCATGCCACGCTGGAGTCATCGTACTTTAAGACCTCGTTCCACACTCTGCCATTTTCACCACCACAGGGTTTCTTGTTTCCCTCCAAGGGCTGCACGGCAGAGTCTCCCACAGTCTGTCTTCCTTCTTCTCCGTTCCTCCACAGCCATATGCGCGGTTGAGGAGGCTCTCTTGCAGCGCCTGAAACCCGGAGCCGCTCAGAGCAGCGCGCCGGGGCCGTGCCGGGCCGTGCTGGCAGAGGAAGAAGGGCAGGGGAGGGGAGGACAGGGCCTCCCCCGGGCTCGGGGTGGGCGCTGCCGCGGGCCGCCAATGGAGCGGGAGCGGGAGCGCCGCGCCCACTGGCGGTGCCGTCGCCGCCGGCGGGCGAGGGCGCCGCGGGCAGGTGCGGGGGCCGTGTCGGTGGGTGCGGGGTTCCAGCTCCGGACTGTGCCCTGCTCGGGAGCGGGGCGGCGCGGGGGCGCACGGCAGGGAAGAGGAGCGGGCAAAAGGAGGATGCCTGTCCTGCAGTACTGCCAGCGCCGGGAACGCGGGCGGGGTGGGTCGTGCCAACACCGTCCCCCCGACGGTCTCTGCCGCTAATGCCGTTTTTCTGCCGCTGCGCAGGAGTCCTAGCGAATGTAATTCACCTGCCGCTGTCTTCAGCAGGAAAGAGGCTAATCCCATTTGGCGATTTAGCGGGCCCGCCGCCAGCAGGTGAGGCGGCGGTGGAGGTGGGCGCCCGGCCCGAGCCGTGCCCGGCTGGCCCGGGGCCTACCAGGATGTCTGGTGAGTACCCCCGGCTGGGACCGGCGTTCCGCAGCCCCTCTTGCGCTCAGCAGCCTCTCGGGCGGGAAGGGCCGCTCGGCAGCGCAGGCTGGTGCCCCCCGGGGCTTTCGTCCTTCTCACACCCCGATGCGGGGGAGGGTCTCAGCGGTTTCCTTATCAGCGGTGCTTATTATCCTGTGCTGTAATTAGCACCTTCAGATTGAAATTTTAACTGCTGTCTGGGTGCTGGAGCGAAATAGTTGAGCTCCTTTATGTGTTCTGCTTGTACGTACAGGTTGGCCTGCCCGGGTCTCTGTGCGATTTCCTGGTGGATCCGCAGGGTGACAGCCTGGGGTTGGCTCCCTCAGTCTAAGGCAGATTCAGAGAAACCTTTCTCATGCCCCTTCTTACAAAACAGCGGTATTGGTCTTATTCGATTATCCTTAAAGCCGTGAGGTACTGATTTTAGGGATAACCAGATGTGGTGGGTAAAGGTGCCGTTTTGTTTCTTGAACATGCTCTGAAAACCACGGGAAAGGTTGAGCAGCAGCTCTCCCAAAGTTTGGTTTACTGAACAATTTGAAGGATGTCAGGCATTCAGCCTGATGGATCCCAATGTTGCATTTCAGTTTTTATGAGGGTCGTTTACTATTTTAAATAACAAAATTGCAGACTCTTGAAGCAGAATGTAACATAGTAAAAGCTACAAAGAATTGGAATCAAGTCCTCTTCCAACACAACAGTCATAATCCTGTCTACTAAAATTCGGTATTGTTTTAATAAAAGATAAGAGCAGATCTGCTTTTGGATCAGGCGGAACTTCATTAGGCCAAGAGAAATATTGCATTCCATTGAATATCAATTTATATTGTTATGAAAAGGTCTGTGTAAAGTGTTGCTTATTTATCTTCATTACTAATGTAAATGTTTCTACTACTGGACCCAACTTGAGGAAGCTGTAATTTTTTTACTAGGGCAAGAGTTACCTCTTTGCTGAAAACTTGCATAATAATTTCTGATGGGGGTCTGACACAGGTTATTGTCTGATAGCATTATTCATTTACCTACTTGTAACAAAATACTTCTTGACCGCTTGTAACGTTGTGGGTGTCAGCTGGAGCAGTTTTCTGTTCCAAGACGTGGTTGTGTTAGGTCAGAGAAGTGACAAGGCCTGTTGCTTGCTTTGTCTTTGTGGTAGTCTAACACATTTTCACTGAGACATGCTTCTGGGGGAGGATTCATAGAGACTTATGTGTGGGAGGGGAGTAACAAAATCATTGTTAGGGAACGTGCTGTGAGCTGGGGCTGTGTTATGTCATTGTCGCTTGGGATTTCAGAAAGGTGCTTTGGGCTCAGTGGGCACAGGTCCAGACTGTAGCCTGCTCATCCTGTAGATTGTCTCGGAAGTAGTAGGGGGAAGGTGACAAAAGAGCAACAGATGGTATTGGGGAGGGATTTAAGAAAGCAATTGTACAATGTTGGTTAGTATGAATGGCAGCACACACCTAACTAGCCTGTTGGAGGCGTTTGGCTATTGACTTATCTGCTCTTATTTTTATGCATGAGATGACAATGTGTTATTTAGAATATACTTGTAGAAAAATCATAGCATAGGAGTGTCTGGTCTCCTGTTGCAATTTTGGACTGGGCAGTTTGGTAAATTTGAGTTGTTCCTCTAGGAGCAACAGTTAAAGCACATTTATCCTTTCTCTGTCTATCAGAAGAAATATGAAAATACATTTAAAAAGTTCTGTCTCGTGGATTATGGAAAAAACCTTCCTACCATATTTAAACTTGTCTTGAAGCTGGTAGGTGCATCTGGGTCACTCAGTGGTTGTTATTATCAGTCAGTCCTGATTCTCAAAATGGGTACCTAGTGTTTGTTAATTTCCTTTTCTCTTTTTCTTTGAACATCAAAGTGAGCATCACCTTGTCTGCTTGCTCTGTCCATATTCGAAGTAAGGCTTTTAGATGCCCTAGAGTTGGTTTTCATGCCGGTTAAAGAATTTTGCCTTTGGCAGTGTCTGAGGTACTATTGCCATGAGTAAGTAGCATAAGAAGTTGGCGATCTTGGCTAAAAAAGATGTAACAAGTTCCACATAAGAAAGATCACCCTGTTCTGTGTGGCTATCTGTAGCTTCAGAGCAGGTTCTAAAATAACTCACCAAGTTACTTTCTTGAAAATCCTTGTTTTGTTCTAAGAAACTATTGACAGGTAATAAAACCGAGAAGCCACTACTGATAATAATGATTTCTTAATTTGCATCATCATATGCTGTGTAGCAATCCATATAAGAGAAATGAGCAGATTTATAAATTCATATGATAGGGTTTTAATAGGATTCTAATCATACATTTACTTTTCTCATAATTCTCTGATAGTGGTATTAGCAATAAGGATCCACAACTTGAAAACAATTTGCTTGAAAACTTAATATTCTTCACACTAGGTGTTGTCCATAAAAAACCCTACTGTCATTCAGCACAAAGAATTGGAAGTTATGCATAGTGGTGTTCTTGACAATTAAAAAAAAACAAACAGTGGTAATGAATTCTAAATACTTACACCTTTGGATTTCAAACTTAAAAGATCAAATCTTCTTTTGCAGCTTAAAGTCAGCAAGTGAAACCCTGTGTACATTAGAATTAATGCAGCGTTGTCCTGATTTCAGTTAAATGGGGACAGTTTACTTTCATAAGTTTATATGAAAGCCTGATCCTTAGTTTTCAGTAATAAAAATAAAATGTTTACTTATGAGGACAATATTCCAAGGAAATTTATAAATAAGGCAAGTCAAGTGACACTTTTTCCTTGAAAGCAGGGGTTAGATGAAAGAAGTAGTAATGATAAAATATTTTGATTTCAAACCCCCTGTGGTTCCTTAATGGATTAGTGATGCCCCTGAAGGATTTTAAAATAGCTAGAACATGCTTCTCTCTTTGCACCAGAAATATTTTAATGTAGAATTGTTTCAGCCAATAGTTTGATTATCTGTTTAATTAATCATTCACTGTATTAAGAAGGCCATAACATGTATCCCACATCTGACTCTCAAAACAGACACTTGGTTTCTTTGTGAGGTATCAGAAAGACTTCCTTAGAAGCGGTATTTGTTTGGAAGTTTACTTCCTTGTGGTTATGACCACAGCTTTTGCTCCAGAAGTACAGGGCATGAAAGCATGTCTAGGATGTGGTAATTTGCCATACCAGCTTGCTGAACTATTTGATGATTAGCTTGTGTGGTTTTATATGTATTACTTAAGTAGAGATTCAGTTTCTGTAGCTAAAAGTATTTGCAAAAGCAATGCAAAGATTGTGTTCAGCTTCGTGGTTGTTATTTAAAACCGTATTTTAAGATTTAAACTCCCACTCATTTCACAGTTTGCTTTTTGTATTAACCTACCTCCCACATTCCTCTCAGTAGTTGTTTTATTACCTTTCTTTGGCTGAAGATGCTTGTTGCCCAACACAAAAGGGCTTTTCTTTGTTGACTTTTTGTCTTTTCAGAGTAATTTTATTGTTTAAGTAGCCTCCAGTGTCTTTTTGGTTTATATTGATTTTTATGGATGCTTATATTTATTCCTTTAACCTTTTGGAAAATTGCAGTAGGAGCAGTTTACTTGCACAACTGTCCTTTTAAAGTAACTCCTCATTCATTGTTTACTGGAACACCCATAACTTGTTTGAACTGTTACAATAACAGGAGTTTTGAAAGCTCATTTTTTCATTTGCTTCTTCTGGAAATTGTCATTAGAAATATTATTGGAGTTTACTTAGCTGTGAGGTCTGCACACTATTTTAAATTTGGGTGGGCGATTCAGTCTTTTTGTCCAAGTTTGACACTACGAGGATTCTCCTAAGGTGCAGAGATGTGTTGCAATGTCAGCAAACATAACGTATATAATGCTTGATTTGAATTTGGGTCTGGCTGGAGATGAGTGAGAGGTAGGGGCAAAAAGGGGGGAGCAAAGACTACACACCAGTGAGTCTGTGCTTTGCTCTAGATTTGGAGGACATGAAAAATAAAGATACTTAGTATCAGAGAGTTTAATACTCACAAGCACCAACCATACTTTATTGCATACCTTGATGTTACGCTAGAGGTCTGAGCTCATTAATTTTGGCAGCCTCTGGCTGAGGCAGCCATGAGGTCATTTTTTGGGTTCTCTGCAACTAGTTCTCTGAGATTCTTTCCTGGTGTCTCTCACAGACCCTGGAAACTGTATGACAGGGGTTTTATGTTGCTATTGTTTGGTTGTTTTGATTTATTTAACATAATTGCTTGTGCCTTAGGATGACAGTGGTTTTAAACAAGTATTTCAGTGCAAGTATTTCAGTGCGAGTGTTTATGAAACTCTGTAGAGCTCAGTGGATTCCCCTCATCTGTGTGACCTGCTTGTCTTGTTCTAGTTAATTTTGCAGCCTAGAATGCTGAGGTCATCCTTCTACTCCAAGAAGGCTGTTCACCTTGCTGAGTCATTGGTTCTGGCTCATCCCAGGAGAACTCTGATAGTGGTGGTTCTGTCAGAGGGCAGAGCTGAAGAAGCAGCCCCTAATGACACTGCCACAGGCCTGGTATCTCTACAAAATACATTGTGTCTCCTGTTGTGCAGAAGTGTATCTTTCCTTCTTTTTTTAATTGTAACTTTTTTCCCATGTGTTTCTTGGCAATGGGGAGCACTCCTATTTTTCTTGGCGTTACTTGAGGTAAGGATCCTCAGCTTCTGGGAGGTGTACCAATCTTGGTAGCAATTCCTCTGCACTTGCTCAGCCAGTGCACCAGTTACTCCAGTACAAAGAGGACAGAGCAAAGAATAATGTCTGTTAGTGATGTTACGGAAAGAAGAATATTTCTGGCTAGTACTCATCATCTTGTTCTTTTCCTTAGCTTTTGGCACTGTATAAACAGGAATGTTTTCCTTTTTGGTTGTATTATAGTATGTTAGATAAATCTCAAACCTAAATATTTACAATTTTGGCTTTTCTTGGTTGACACTATGTTTAGACAATAAGACTTAGAGAATTATTTGTTTAAGGCTAGTCCAAAAACTTCATACCTGTCATTATGTAAATCAGGTAATCAAAAATAACACAATTGAGAAACATACATAGTGCAGTCACGTTCGCTGGATTTTCTATTCGATTGTGTCTTCTGGGGGAGTTTGGAAGAGAAAAGAGTTTATCACAGAAACTGCAGGTTGTTATAAAGCCATAGCCTGTTGTTTAGCTAGAGGAGGAGGGAATCTGCCAAAACAGCTTATGTTAAAGCTGTAAAATGAACCTTCTGAATGTTTGCTTGCAGTAACAGATCAAGCCTTTGTGACCCTTGCTGCCGATGATGTGTACTGTCAAGGCGCTCTGGTTCTCGGACAGTCATTGAGGAACCATAAGACATCTAGAAAATTGACAGTTCTAATTACACCAGAGATTTCCAGTGGGATGAGGTAAGTATTCATGTATTTTTTGAGATTTGATATTATGGAAGAACAAACAACAGCATCAAAGATTTTAGTAGGCTTCCCTGTTGGCTAATGATTTCTGACAGGAGTCCCAAATAACATCCATGATAAGATTTCAAGCATAATAAGAATTCACTTACAGGAGTAGAGCTTGTGGCTAGTAGTTGTCTTAAGCCCATAATTGAGAACTTAAGCTGAAAATTTTGGAACTAAGGTTCGAATGTCGTGCTTTTGAGCTGAAATAAAGGCACTGCTGTTGGTTTGTTGTTTTGGTTTGTTGTTTTTTCCCCCCCTCCCAAGTGTTTCTCTTTTAGAAAGAGCAAGATATTAACCACCTGTAACATCAGAACTCTCTAAAAACCTAAGGGGCTAGGTTTCAGATGAGTAATCTTAAAATATTGGTGCACAGCTATCATGATGAGAAATTAATTTCTTCTTGCTTCTTTTTTTCAAAATCACTTTCCAATTTGGGTTATGTTTCTATAGCACTACAGAATTGTATTTACACCAATCTGATTAGGTCTGTCGAACTCAAGCCCTGTTATTTGGAGGACTGTGTCACTTGTTAAAAGGAACATACTGTGCCATAGCTACTTAAGCTCTTAGTTCTGTTATGGCTTAGGCAGTGTGCAAGCTCTTGATTTCTTTATGCCATGTGAATATATTTGCAAGGCATCTGGCTCAAGGAACATGTTTTCACATTTTTCTGTGACTGGATGCACAAAAATCTGTTTTTACAGACTTTTTAATGTATGGATTTTGTTATGTCAGAACACTGTCACCTTACTGAGGGAATACTGTATCCATTTGACACATGGGTCAATACTAAATCCCCAGGGTTTTTTTCATCCCCATTCAGTGGGAAGAAAAACCTTTATAATATATATTTTTAATCAAAGATAGCATTTTTTTAAAAAGTACCTCCCTGAACTATCCTTCTAAAAATCTGTACCCACTCTTAGATCTTTCTCGGTTGACTCCTGTCCCTTGAAGATCAGGCCAGCAAAAGCTAATGTCCCTGAAATCTAGATTTCAAACAGCACAGGCTTTTCTCTTTCTGTGTTTGTGTGATATCCAGGACTTTGCAGTTAATAGTGTAATGCAAATAAATAACCTGTGTTTAAAAGACTTTTTTTCTTGTTGGAAAATTGCCTACTTCAGTGTTACCTATAAAATTCCCATGAAAGACATGCATAGAAAAAAAGTGTCTTCCTAAAAGTCTCGTTTGAGATGATTTGTAGTAATGAGCAAGTATATATTGTCTGTTTGAAAATGTGTAGTTTTGAAGCTGTGTTTACTTGGGCATAATAGGTGCAAATGACTGTGCTGGCAATGCATGTCCTATCCTGTTCAATGTAGAGAGAACAAAGTACGATGCTGTTCTTTAGAATCAATTGTGCAGGATGAAAGCTGCTTTAATTTCTGTTTGTGTTTATACAGGAGATCAAATGACTTAAATAAGGATTGTTTTCTCCTTCATACAGCAGCTGTTGCTTTTGAGATGTGCTGGCCCCCACAGTGGAAGAGGCAATGAATGGTTTGTGGTCTGACTGATAGCTGTCGCTTCAGCAGACTATTTGCAAGGACTTTGCACTTCTGACTTCTTATTCTAACCAATCAATCTAGCCTTGGTTATTGGCATTATTAACATGGTGCTGTGTGTCACTGTTTTCATGCCTGAAGTGAACTCTGATGAACTTAGGTCTAAGTGCCCTTCTTTCTCTCCACTGCTCACTCTGGTAGGTCAGTCCTCCGCAGTGTATTTGATGAAGTAATCCAGGTGGATGTGCTTGACAGTGCTGACTCAGTCCATTTGGCTCTAATGCAGAGGCCAGAACTGGGTGTAACCTTTACTAAGCTTCATTGTTGGACTCTTACTCAATTCAGCAAATGTGTATTCATGGATGCAGACACTTTGGTGAGTAGAGTGGGAGCTGTGGAAACATGTGGGTCTGTCTCCTCAGTGTGGGATAATTCCTTGTCAGGCAGCCTATCGACCTATGAAGTGACCAGATTTGCTGCTCACAGTTTTACTGGCTGCATAAAAATAAATTAGTTCTTACGGAAAGTAGCCTCAGGATTGTCATCAAAAAGATCACAAACTCACTCTGTGCACAGAGGCTTCTGATAGATGTTTAAAATAGATCTCTCTCATATACTTTTGTTTCTAAGTATTCTGATCAGGAAGGCAGGCTGGTTTTAAAATGGAAAAAAAAAATTCCCAGAAACATTAATTACTTTTTTTCTTAAAGCTTTTAGAAGTATAGAGATAAAAAATGGCCATAATTTTGACAATCATGTCAGCCTTCCCTTGCACTTTCACAGCTCACTTTGAAAGTCTGGGATACATTTTAATTTAGTAGAATAGTATTTGAATCAGAAACCAAATTAAGTTATTCTTCTTGAGGAGAGAGGCTTATGATTTCCTGATTTACATTAAAGTTAAAGGAGGAAGGCAAATTTTTGTCTTTGTTTTAAATTCAATTAAGTAATCTTTCTCCTAAAAAAATTTTCTTCTAGTTTTCACTGTTATAGGTGGGGTCTTGACTTTCAGTGACTGCACAGCTGTCTTTCCATCAACTTTAAATGTGATCTGGGCCTTAACCTGATTGATTTTCTCACTTCTGTGTGAAGATTAAAAAACCAAGAACTTAACTTACATTAGAAAACTGGTAGCAAGATACGTTTTTTCTACTACCCCTTTAGTCAGCCTGTTGCTAGCCCAAATTATTTAGATTCAGAGTTTTCATTCAGGTCTGTTGCAGTTACTGAGAATAATGAACTACGAAAGGTGAGCTAAGACAGAAGGAAACTGTGTATTTTCAGAGTATGTTATAATATTTAAAAGGACCTTCTGGATGGTCTCCAAGGTTCATGAAATAATATCACAGGCTCTGCGCTTTTATCAGTAAAATCTTGGAGAACCACAATCAATGTTGCCTTATTATATAAAAAAATAGGGGTTCTGACCCCTAGCACAATTTTCATTGCCAATACTTTTATGCCCTGCAAGTGATATACTAGACCAAATTAGCAATTTACTGCATTGGTACTAATTTAGCAATTCACGTTTTAGATAAACATTTCTTCTAACATTTTCTTTCTTTTCCTGCTCTCTCTTAAGGTGCTTTGCAATGTTGATGAATTGTTTGATCGAGAAGAGTTTTCAGCAGCTCCCGATTCTGGCTGGCCTGACTGCTTTAATAGTGGAGTATTTGTGTTCCGGCCCTCTTTGAAAACTTACAACCTACTGCTCCAGTTTGCTGCTGAACATGGCAGCTTTGATGGTAAGGGGCAAGGCATAAGGAATGAAGTGCAAGTCATAGTTTCCATGCTATCAGACAGAAAAGAGGAAAGCAGGAGTTCTCTGTGCTTTATGTAATTCTGCCCCACAAAGAATTAAAGGTGCAGAACTTTGCCTCTTATGCTGTATTTAAGACCTGTTGATTTAATGTGGACTGTGCTTCCCAGAAAAGGGCAATGAAGGGACACTGGATCTGAATCTTGCTCAGTAAGTTTTAATTTTGCTGTCTGGCTTAGGAGAGAGAAATACAGCTGATCTTCAGTCTTCTGCTCTGGGGGAGACCAAACCCTACTCCTTTCTTCATATATTACAATAGAACTTCATTTGCACTGAACTTGCATCGGAGTGAATCAGGTATTATTCGCTTGTACCTGCTCACATGGCCATATTTTCAAGCCCAAGTTGCTGTCCCACGAACACACCAGTCTCATTCCCATGCTTGGATGTGAAATTTTGATATAAATTTGAGTGTACACATAATACATAATTCTGGTAATACTGTTTTATGTATTCTTTAGGAGGTGATCAAGGATTGTTGAATAGCTTCTTCAGCAACTGGGCAACAGCAGATATTGGCAAACACTTACCTTTCCTCTATAACTTAAGCAGCAGTGCTGTATACACCTATGTTCCTGCTTTCAATCAGTAAGTAGTAACACTTCTGACTGACTGTAAACCTCTGTAATTTGTTAACAAACATCCTTCTGTAAGAGAGTAACAGTGGCATATTCTGTTGATGATAAATTACAGTAGTAACAAATGATCTTACGTAAAAGCCATGCAATAGAAGCTTAAATGCAATATGAATGTCTTGCATCTGGACACAGGGAGAGTCCCAGAGTTCTCTACACTGTCTCATGTTCTTTCAGAGAAGCTTCTTTCATGTTTGAAAAGATGTAATTACTTTGGCATTAGGTTCTGACAGCTCTACTTTTAAACTTGTTCCTTTCATTTCGAGTAATTTCTATGAGAAACAGTTGGAGTTGTTGTTTAAATTTTTTGAACCACTTCTTAGGTTCTTCTGTGAAACAAAATTTGTGCTACTAATTATATGAATTCAGATAATGCAGTTGAAAAATTTTCAGGTAAAAAGAAAGTTGGATTTAAGGTGTTATGAATTTCTGTTCCAGTTGCACAATACACTCTTACTGGGAGGTGAAATTAGGTCAATATAATTAGTAGTAATTTTTAATATGAAATCAGTAATAACCAATTATGTTGATTTAATATTTGAAGTGGTATTTGTTTGTGAACAGAGCATGCAGGAGGACTGGAAATGGTACTGCATGAGCCTGTCAGTTTCCTTCATGAGCTTTTCTACTAGAATGAGCAGCTGGAAGCAAATGGCAATGCAACATTTTGTATTTTAAATGAGATGACTTAAACTAATAAGATAGAAAAAAAATTAAAATATATACTCATCTTGAATGTGTTACTGCTGCAAAATGTCCAATTATCTCACCTGTGAGAGTGTGTTTCTTTAGGAGTTTATATATGCTAAAAAAATATTTAATGTATGTTTGATCTCTACAGTTTTGGTAGAGATGCCAAAGTTGTTCACTTCTTGGGAGCAACAAAGCCCTGGAATTACAAATACAACCTTCAGACAAGGAGAGTTATGCAGGATGACACAACCTCTGGATCTTTTCATCAACTGTCATTTCTTGCCCTCTGGTGGAATATATACAGTGCCAGTATACTGCCTTTGTTAGAAAAACTTCAAAAGGTGGAAGAATCAGAATCCAAGGAATGCAAGGTAACTGATAAGGAGTTAGTTGGAATATGTTGAAATCAAAAACAAAAATTCTGAAAATTTTATGTTTGTTAGAGGAAGAAATTACATAATGTGGTGGGCTAATCCGTGAAGAAAAGAAGACACACACACACACATGAACAGAGTGATGAGACAAGAGGTATCTCATCAAAAGACAAGAGGCTTTATGGAGCTCGCTGGCCCCTACTTTCCCACAGACATAATGTAAATATATTTTCACAAAAACACCTAGGAATTTAACACCTGCACACAATCAACAACCTCGTCCTTGTACTGTTATCCTTTTCTAGATAACTCCCTAAAACTCAAGGCTGTGTCCATGGGAATGTTTAATTAGCCTCACTGTTCTTCGTGGGAAAGGCCTCACACCCTGCAATATTTCAAGCTCCTCAAGTTTCAGGGGTCCTGGGGGCTTCGTGGACCTACCACTTCCCCCCACACCCCGGTACCAAAACCTTGCCGTGTAATCCCAATACAGGTGGTCTATTGATTGGTAGTAGCACTGATTACTTGTAGAAGCATCCAAAGTAGAAGTTTGGAAAAGTCAATAGTACTAAAAACTCCTCCTAAAGATTTACGGCAGCCCTCTTCTTAATTTATAAACCGTTTCTATGGGAATGTATGTGCATAGATTCTGCAAATTAAAGACAAATTAGCTGAAGAAGATGATAATCTGGCTCTGAAACAAGCAGACTTTTGTTTTTCTTGAAGATAAGTTGATATAGACCATCAAACTAATCCTTGAATCATAATAAAATTTCACCTTTTCAGAACTGCATTATAAATTGTTTCGTGATGGTCATAACAAATAAATCAGGAATGCAAAAGCAGAGTTAATTGCACTTAGGATTTTATACACAGTACTCGTATGTCACGAAACATTTACTGAACTCTATGCTTTTATTCTTCTTTGGAGAAAATGCAGAAATCTATGCTTTTCATGAATAGAATAAAAAAATCTGTTGATAAATAGATGATTTTTTTGGGACCAGCAGCATAAAGTAATGTATAGAAGTACGATTTTTAATTTTGTATCCAGACATGACAAATTAGATCACATTTATGCATATGTAAATGTTTCTTAATTTTTTGTAATGTTAAATTATTACCATCCTTGAACTAATTGCATAGTCCCATAGGATCAGTTGAACAATTACCATCAGGGAATAATTTGGTTTGTTAACATCATGACAAATTGGAAGGCAGAGCAAGGGTATTTTTTGATCTTATATTTTAACATGCTTTATTTTTAAGACATTGTGCATTAAAGAAATACTTTAGATATGGTAACATGAAGGTGGAAATACCTGTTAGATTTACCTCCTGATTATGCTTGCATGCTCATGAGTGCAAAAATCTAAACTACAACGTGCTCTGAATCTAGGACTGCCCACTTTTTTTTGCATTAACTTATTCCTTTCATGCTGAAATCCCTCTAAGGAAGTGCAGCTGTTGTAAATAAGATATTACTGTTCTGAAAAATTGTATTTTAGTGGTGTGATGTTCTTGTTGTTGTTAGCACACTTTCAATGGAGTTGAAATTACACTGAAGAAGGTCAGTCCTTGTGTGGCCAATTCGCAGCAAATGCCTGAGCTTCCAGAGCAGGCAAATGAAATAAATCCCACAGGGTGTTCACCTGAGGAACTCACTTTTGAAGCTGTAAGTATGTTGTATATTACTATTTGCACTAACAAAGTAAAATTATATACTAAAAGGATATTCTTTCATTATGCTTCTGATCTGGGAGATTTTATCTTCAATTTAGCTGTAGCTCTTGGATGTTCTTGCTGGCATCAAAAATAGTCTAAAGGGTATTTATTTTGTTTAATCCTAAGTCATGCATGCTTGAGGTGTCTGGAGGTTGAAAGAGATTGCATTGTATTTTCGGAAGAGGTCACTTATTCAAAGTTGTTAGGTACTTAATAAAATGTAATATAAAAAACCTGTTACCAAAGTAATATTTTGAATATTAATAGTCTTGTGAATTAATATATTTAAAACTAGAATCCTTTCTATCACTCCTCTGTAGAACTTTTTTTTCCCCTCAAGTGTTGATCCAGAAAACTGTTCCCAAAATGTCTGTGAATTGGGCAACAAGGAGAGTATTGAAAGAATCCACTAATAAACATTTCAGTCTTCCTGTCTTTTGTCACTTTTCTTGTATTTGAGTATTTCTGTTGGACCAGGTCCCCTTATTGTAAGCAGGAATTAAGTTGGACATAATAACAGAATGCTTCTGCAGGTATAAGTCATTACACCTTGTCTGATAAACCGTGCTATGCAAGGTACAATTGGGAGAAAATAAAATTAGTGTTCTAATGTCATCTGCTATTGTAACTTGTGGACTGCTCTCTAGTAAGATGAAGACAACTTTTAATATGTTCAGTGCTTCATCTCTTTAGACTATAGTTACTCCATAAAGTAAAACTGTAGTCTCCCTTTCCCTTTCCAGGGGCTTAAGGGAAATTGTGAGCCTTCCGGCTCTATAACTTTAAAATAATTTATTTGCAAAGAATGTATTTTCTTGTGTGCCTCATGCATCTGACTCCATTGGGAAAGCTCAAACCAAATAGGAACACATTATCAAGGTGTTTGTTTGGGGTAAAAAAAATTATAATGTTCACTTAAAGTAGTTTCATTAAAATTTAAATTTCTGTTATTATTTCAATTACTAGGATTGTTTATCAGAAGACCATATTAATTAGAAAGAAATAGCCTGATTCTCTTCTTACTTAGGAATACCATCATTCCACTTTTTGTTGCTTTGCTTCAGTAGTCTTGTGGGATTGTTTTTGGGGAAAAGATTTCAGAATGGGGTCTGCCTACTCATTTATGTTTCAGTATTTGTCAAAGGCAAATATTTGGGACAATATTTTTTGGGCAATCTATTTTGCCTCTGTTTTGGAATATATTGTTCTGTTCTTATTTCATACATATAAAAAAAAGCTTATGCATCATAGAGGAAGCTGTTACCCTAAAATGAAATTTTTCTTGTTGAGGTTTGACCTCAAGAATGGTAGGTGTCTACTGTAAGCTCACTTCTGAGGCTGTATCTGTAGTCACTGAAGAATGACAGACACTTTGAACCTATCTTAGGATGAGATGAACTGCCCTATGGAGGTATTTGTCCTAGATTAATTACAGTAAGAATTTTGATTCAATGCCATTTTGATAGCTTAAGCTAGGTGAGATGAATTTTGTCCTTGGTCATAATGTGCTTCCTTGCTTTTCCTCCCATCACTACTTTCCCCTACCCCAAGACTGAAAGCTATTGTATTGTATGAATAAAAAAATATGCTCCTAATAAAACCTCAGTGGCTGTATTTTAGCAACCTGTACATGAAGTTGAACCAAGCGATTCTAGCGTCCATCTCTCTGAGCCTGACAGACCTTCAGAACAACCTGTGTCCCATCCTGCATTTCAGGAAACCTCAGAACTGGTACATGTAGCTTTGTGCTTTGTACATCTGTTGGTGATTGCATGCATGTCTTAGCTGCTAACATAATTTTCGGGAAATCTCAACTAATTATGATACAATGTGCAAATAAATTCTTTAATCTTTTAGCTATGTAATTTCTTAACTGCTTCCAATACTGGGGTATGATCCCTTTCTAGTGTTCTTTTCAAAACGTGGAGTTTTTAAATGGGTATTTCGTGTGCTAACCCCCAAGTAATCAATGCATGGTGTTAATTTTAGTTCTCCAGTACTAATACAAGCAAAACTGTTCGGGTTTTTTGTTTGTTTGTTCCGTTTTGTTTGATTGTGGAGTTTTTTGTTTGTTTGTTTGTTTGTTTTTAATCTGCTGAAGTGATATTTCCAAGCAAGTGGAAAGGGAATCTACAGTAGCCTGACCGACTAGGCTTTCCTTTGTGATCTTGCACTGCATTTATGGGCACTTGCACATGCGGGTGGTGTGAGAATAGGAACAGACTTGGTGTTGATGGCCTTGACAGGGTGTCAAGGCCTTGTAAGGTACACAACACAGCCATTTTCCTAATGAGGCCTTTTGTATGATTGTGAAGCACTGTGGTGAAATACTTTAAGACTGAGAAAAACACCTGTAGCTCCCCTGCAGCCAGAGGTTTTTGGGTCCTGGCTAAAATTCTTCATTTCGAAAAACATGATCATTCCAGTCTTCTTGTTAATTGCATCCAGAGCTGTTGATAAGACTTGCTAATGACAAAGAAAGGAATCTTCATGCATTTTTGCTGCTCAAAAATTAAATACAAATGCGTATTGCATGTTTGCATATATAGGGAACAAGCATGCTCTTCAGAGCATATACTCATGTTTAGAGTGATGTTGGTTGCAGGTGGGGATACATATGGAAGGATGCAGTACCTAAGCACATAGTGTCATGTTGGCTGTTTGAAATACCTTACCTTGTCTTGCACAAGTCGTGTGCCTTGTCTGCCCAAAACTGGCAGATATAATGAATATTCCAGGTCATTTAGGCAGTTTAAGCCACTGATTCCTGCCCATTAAGTTATGTTCTGAAACACTTGTATATTGAATTTGTGAGGGCTTCAGTAGAAGGTCATTCTAATTGATTTCAATTTTGTTTATAACATGAGATGAGTGGTTTGCCTTTAAGCCTCTTCGAGTAGTACTGAAAGCAGGTTTTCAGTGGCTGCCTTGATTAGTCCTTGTTATATTTCACCTTTATTACAGATTATAATTGTTGGGATGTTCCCTTTTTACTGGCATTGGTCAAGCATGGACACAATTTATCTTTTATGTGGTTGAAATTATTGCTAATAATGTCTTGCATTTGTGCACCTATGATAATTGTGAATTCCGGTTCAAGGTCAAGTTTTGGACTCTCATTCAAAATGAACTAGCTACTGGTATAAAGAATAGTGTCAATCTTTTGAATTAATTTGTGCGAGCCATGTGTCTCACATCTGCTAAATAATACTGATCTCACTGGTGTTCAGATAAAACAAATGACCAAAAATTCTAGAAATGTATGTTCACGTGCAAGCCAACTGAAAACAAGATTTGCACAGATAAATGGTTACAATTTATTGTAGGAGTTATTCTACTCTAAACAGGCCATATTTGTAAAATTTTTATTGTGTTGTTGCTGAGTATACCAAGGTTTGAGTAAAGATCAGTAAAATAAGTGTTTGGTATGTTCAAAGATGCTATGGAAAGTAGTAAAAGCATGGGAAAATGATCTCACATTATCAAAACAGGAATGGAGGAATGGATGTTTGAATAGTTTGTTTTATTGTTTGAACTGGGAGTGTACAATGCAGAAGTTTGACAATTAAGGCTTAACATCACAACACTGAAATGAGAACAACCAAATGACTGTTCTCCCACTGTTCTGCTTCTTCCCACAGAACGAGGTTGCAGATTCTGTTTCAGAGCTGTCTATTCACCTTAAACCAGCAAAACCGAGTCCAGAAGATGAGCGGAGAAAATGGGAGGAAGGGCGCATGGACTATATGGGGAAAGATGCTTTTGAACATATCAAAAAGAAATTGGATGCATTTTTACATTAAGATAGAGTGTACTGTAAAGGCCATCATGATATATGTATCTTCTATAAACGCAATTCTTGAATACTTGGCTATATTAACAGTTTACCTGATGCCAGAGGTTATTATGGATCCTCATAGAATCTTGGAGGAGATTAACAGATACAGACTCTTTTTTTTTTTTTTTTTAACTTTTAAGTGTGCCTCATCTTTATTGTTACTTATGTCTCATCTTCATTGTTCTCCAACAGTGCCTTCTAAAGAATAATGAATGGTACGCTCTCAGTATGATCTCTCATGTGTTTATCACTCTTCCCTGTTCCTCCCCATAGCATTCTGCAGAAACAGTCATGAGTGGGAAACATGCTGGAAAATGAGACTATTTTGGAAATTGAGTTTATTTCCCAGACTGAGATTATTCCTGAAGTACTTATAAAAGACACTATAAAGCTATTTAAATAAAAAACTTGTTCCAGAAACCAAATTAATGCTTTCAAGGGCAACCATGATGTAGACTTCAATATGAGAAAACAGTGAGGAGATGAAATCCTGTCCTCATTGGAGTCTGCAACAAAACTTTTTAATTTAAATATGATTAGGATTAGAGGAACTTTAGACTTCATCTGAGATCACTAGTGGATGTTCTGTGTTTGTCTGTTTATAGGAAGATGCTCAGCTTTATAACTAGTGTAAGGAAGAGTGGTTTAAAACTCTTAAGACAGACTGGTAATGTATGTTAACCTTTTATATTGTTGCTATAGGATACTGTTGCTTTTTAAAAGATTGATAGCTTTACTTGCATATTCTGAGTTGTGTAGTCAGAGGAAGAAATGGGGATGGTATGGTGTAAACCTTCCAGTGCTTTATATAAATTCGTTTACAATACTTCAAACTGCAGCTGATAAAGGCTTCCTTCTAACTCAGGTTGATAGCCCCATATTAAAGGCAATTTGAGTGCAACTGAAAACACAATTGGCACTTGTTTTAGTAAACAGGCCTTTTGAAGATATTTTAAACAATAGCTGTGTGTGGGAACCAATAAATCTGTGAGGGTTGTTCCAGAAAAAATCTACTGATGAGACACCATTTTATTAAGAATACTTATGGGGGATTGTTTTGTGAATTTGGGTATTTAAATTTGACTTATCTCAGCGAATTTGCCTTAACAAACAAGAAAAAGTACTTTCTTTCAAAGTAAACAACTTTGAAAGAAAGGATCTTGACAGTCATGCTAATATGATAACAGGTTTGACACAGTTATCTGTAACATCACTGAATATTAGAATAAAAATTCTGCAGTGATGATGCAGGACTTTAAACATTTTGGTCTTAATATGTCACCAATTTTGGTAGAGATATACATAGTGAAATAACTTGGGAATTCTGTTTCAAAATGCTGTTACATTGTGCATAAAAGGGATCACCATAGGTGTTAGTGGAGAAAAAAAAGCAGGATAGGAGGGAAGAAGAAAATTTTATTTCTTTTTCCTCCATCAAAAAGGATGTGAGGGTGGGGCAGAGAATACTTGTGCAAATTGGGAAATTAATGAAAGAAATTAAAAGTCCTTTAAAAGAAGAAAAACATATCTTTGAGTATCTTAGAATTACTTTCTAATATTCACAATAGTGGACTTGCTTTTACTTTTGTAGGATTTTTCTGATTTTTATCTAGTTCTCATTTATTCTAAGCACTCTTAAAGAGTGAAACTCATTGGTGTGTCTTCTGCGTATAAGCTTCTAGGTTAAGTTAGATGTTTTAGGGTCAACAGAGAAATGGGGAAGAATCATCTCCCTTTGACTAACCTGGGGACCCTTGATAGCCTGTGTCTTTCTGGGTAGGTGACCTTCACATGTTAGCACAGGTAGGTGCATTCTACCTCTTGGTGCTGTGGCCCAGTGCAGCGCTGTGTGGAGATGGCAGCAGCTGCAGTGTCCTCTTACTCACATGGCATTTGATCTGCTGATTAGCCCTGTTTCTTTGTGATCCTTGTGCACTTCTGAGAAAGTTCTCTGTTTTAAAAGCATTGTTGTTAACATAATTCAAACAGGTTTTGAAGACTATAAAACTAGTCATCAATGTGAACTCATGCTTCGGGGAGGTGTACTTTTTACAGTAACAACTAGATCTTAATTAATTAGATTATGAGAGAAAAATTACTGATGTGAAATCTGTAACTGAAAGGTTTTTTATATAGGTGTATGAGTGTAGTAGAAGGAGCTGTGATTGGACACGTCAAATGGTTAGTATGTAAAATGGTACTGTGTGGCTTATACAATGTTTTGCAAAGAATGTACATTAATGTAATGGAAATAAAAGAAATGGAAAAGACATATGAAGTCATGTACTTATCAGATGATGCAGAGTTACAGGTTGTTTACACTGTGCCAGGGATTATTATTTGTGACTGACTAGTTACTTTAATTTTTTTTTTTAATTTTATTTAATTGCTTTTGAGAAATTTAGCATTACCTGCTGAGCAGAATTAAAAGGTTAGACTTATAATTATTTCTACAGACATACATAATTATAATGTTTAGGATCTCTTGAATTAGCACAACAGTATTTTGTTTATTGTATTTCATGGAAAAGTGTAGCTGTTAAAGGCCCTGCCCAAGTTTATACGTCTTGTCTTCATATAAAAAAAAAGTTGAACTAATTACACATAATGTAGTGTTGTAGTGGCTTCTAGCACACAACTGTTGTCACCAACATGTGAGAAGGGAAAATCTTGTATGTGACTCCAGAATTTGCAAGTGCTATGCTTCAGGTACCATTCTGTGCTTTTATGGACATCATCCTGAAATCCCGGGACCACAGGCAGGTCTGAGGGGTGTTATGGGCTGCATGCTGCCATCAACCACAGGGCTGAGGTTTCCTACATTGAAACATGACTTGGGGAGAAAAAACTTATCAAGCTTTACCTGGAATTTTTCCACATTAAACTGTGGTATAGCCCCAAGTATTTTTAGGATGAAGAAAGTTAAGCAGCGTAGGCTATTGCTGTGTGGCAGACAGTATTTAAAGAGGACAGCTTGTGTTTAAAACAAAACAAAACTACTTCTGTCATGTGCTTGGAGTTATTCATAGCCTGATTTAGAGGGTAATTTTATTTGCCATACAACAATTTTATTGGGTGCTCTTCATGTATAAACAGGAGATAGTGTGGGTTAGACATATGGGCTAATGCACTGTTGTAGCCTACAGTAAAGGAGATATTAATGAAATATCACTTTTCTTAATGCCTGGTGTCTTGTGAGGACTCTTCCAACTGGGTTATTCTTCGTAAATAAGAAGTTTTCTTTGTCTCTCTAGTTCATTCAACTCACAATTGTTTTTCTGAAACTGGTATTCAAAAAAACACTTAGTTGTTTCATTTTGGTTTTTTTTTTCACCTTGATTTTTCTGTCCATGAACGGGAGGCTGGATTAGTAGCAGATGGCGATATATGTTTGTGTGCTCCTGTAAACATATAGTTGTTCAGCAGCAGCAAGTCTGCAGCATGCCTACTTATTCCTTAATGGATGTGATTCTGTTGCTTTCCTAATCTTAACTGTTTTGATTCCTATGACTTTGAAAATAACATGAGATGGGCCTGTTTTCTTAAGTCACATCTCATTAATTCACATCTCACATTCCAATTCCCCACATTTTTCTTGTCATGATATTGGGATTTTATTTCTGTAGTTTGATTTTTCTTTTTTTTTAAATGAGATTAAATGCATAGTAGTAAATTCTTAAATAGCCTGCAAAAATACATGTCAGTTAGGGGTCATTGAAGTAGTCTACATTGTCAGTATATTGGTTGCACAATATCTCAGCTGAAATTCTGTTCATCCGAAGTTGGCTGGCTCATAAATAACAATTTCTATGGTGCTAATGGTTAAAGGGATGACACTCAAGCTTTACTTTGCATCCTGGTATAAACTTTCAACTTTTAATAACATCATATCATAATTATATCAAAGGTAGTTAAAAAAGTACAGTGATATATATTTGACTTAAACATCATAAATAATAATTGTTAGAAAACTGGAAATGATATACTATAAGGGGAAGAAATAGTTGCAAGATTTTTTTTCCTGAATTTTACTTTGACTGTTGTCAGAGCCCTTTCAAATTCAACAAACTGGATGGATAAAAAAAATAAAATTTCAAGACAACCAGCCTCTGACTGGTGATTATTTTAGGATTTTCAGGATGGTATGATGTTAGCTGCCTTCGAAAAGTGTTTGTTCCATTTTATGGCACTGTACAGTGTTCTGAACAATGATAAATACATGAAACACTTATTTGAAAGCAATAAGATATTCAAAGCCTTCTCACAGTATTAAATACTTGGAACAGAACTGACTGCATGTGATGGGTGGGCATGTATTTTATGTTTTGTTTAGAGACTGTTTTTTTTTTTTTTAATTTTTAAACCTCCATAAATTCTTTCTGTTTCCAAACCTTTTACTTACAATTTTTAGAGAAATGGCAGAGTAGAATTCAGGGTTGTTTGGATGCTGTAATAACCCCTTTTATTTCAACATGGGGAGTTGAGATTTTTTTTAAAAATGTTTTTTTCTTACTTTCAAAAAATCTTAATGTAGTAGTATGGTATTCAAAAAAGAAGCTAGGTTTTGAATAAATTTGGGGTTTTTTAATGTAGTTGATTAGATGTAACATTACAATCACAACATTCTAAAAAAACTTCAGTATTTTATTGAGTTCAATACTATATATATGACTGCGTGTGTGTATTTTAACCTACAATCTGTCAAAGAGGAAAAGGTTTTTTATATTTACTCCTTCTTTTTGGTCCTTTATGTAAATGCTTCTCAAATATACTGAGAGTCCTTGAGAATTTCAAGCTGGATGAACTTTGAGCTCAAATTACTTTTCTGAGTTTATTTGTTAAACAATTATTTTGCATTCTTAAATGATGGGATCTTGTGATCCATATGCTGGCATTCCCTTGAATCCCAGCAGGGAGCAAAGCAGTGTGTCTAATATTTAAACACGGTGAAGTGAAATTTCTTAGAAGCTTATTGTCTCAATCCTGTGAGATTTGACAATTACTTTGTTGAGTCAGTCTAATGCAACAATTCCAAATGTCATTTAGTAATGATCAAACAATTTAAGTGGAAGTCAGCTTCATACAACGTGAATGTCAAACATTTACACAGTACAACCACAGCTCTTTCAATAAAACAAACTTATTTGTCACAGAGTAATACTCCCCTCTCTATGGTGTGTATATTGAACTATGTGTAGGCATATACTGGTATGGTTATCACTGGCTTGGAGATTGGTTAGTTGTCTTTGTCTCAGGTTTTCCCAACAGGCCATTTTTATGTAGTCCTTGCTCCTTTCTACAAAGGGAGAAAAGAAGGGAGAAAGCATATAATTTAGCTTTTATTCTTATATTAATATATTTTGCAAAAGATCGTTATAGATGACTTTTCAAGCAAACTTAGGGAACTGATTCAAGAGTTTCTTCCTTCCAGTGTTATTCAAGCAGTCTTTGTAACAGCTTTTTTACACGTTAATGCATTTTATGCAAAAGTGTGCTCGAGGATAACTCTTGGGTAATGTTGGGTTCACCTGCTTTAACGGGAATATACATTTGCCGGGAGATCAGAATAATAGCTTGTGCAGATCTTACGTGATCTGGTTAGAGTATATACAGACAAAGAGATTTGCAACCACTCCTGGCTAGGAGCTGCATGAAATGGGTAAAATAATTAACCTCCGTTCTCTGCTTACCACTGTCTCCTCAAAATTTTTGTCTTTTAAGATACATTTAGATTTAGACAGTAAAAGAAGCTTAGGACTGAAAAATCTTCTCTCCTGTCCCTCATGTTTTTTGAAGTGCTGTGCATCCTGTTCACCAATTTTCCATTACGTTGTTCTCCGTGTCGCCTGCAGATCACCTCTGTGTGCACTGTCTGCCTCTCCCTCTGTGTATGGGAAAAGCACATTTCTATATGCCTGGTTGAGGTTTCTTAACAGTGAGTTAACAAAAGCCAGTTATGCTATGCTGCCAGCCCTAATTCTTCCTCCTCCTGCCTGAAAGCCCCTCTGGCTTTCCACAGATGCCAGCCAAGATAAAATTATCTATGTTTGGATGTCAGGAAGGCAACATGAATATCTACGTGACTCCTTAGCATCTGACTCTATATGGCAGTTTAGCAAATTTAACTTTCAGAAGAATGAGGTGTTACACAAATATTTAATGTTTACATTTATATGGGCTGATTTTTTTCATGCTGTGCTTGGAAATGGAGTTCAGGGTTTTGCTGATGTATTGGCCTTCCTAGTCTGGCTTTCTAGAGTTTCGACCTATGCTTACAAGCTGAGTGAGTGCTTGAACACCTTCCCATCCCCTGGTAAAAGCTCTCATCATGACCTAGTGTGGGACTGGGCATGTTCTTGTGTATGAATCATAGAATCACAGAATATGCTGAGATGGACGGGACCCATCAGGATCATCAAGTCCAAATCCTGGCCCTATGCAGGACTCCCCAGAAATCACACCATGTGCTTGATAGCATTGTCCAGCAGTTTTTAAACTCTCAGGCTTGTCGTTGTCACCACTTCCCTGGGGACCCTATTCTGGTATTCAATCACCCTCTGGGTGAAAAACTTTTTCCTGATATCTAACCTAATGGAGTGGGGAAGGCAGTGACGTGAACTGAGAAAAAGCTTATCCTCATGTTTACCTGACAGTGTAGATGCTACTAAACTGATTGGCTTGACTCTAGAGAACAGCATTTGGTTTTGTTCCCCACTGAGCAGTAAGATTTGTCCTCCATCTCTGAATTGGCCAAACTGGCTTTAAAATGCATAGTCCTTTATGCTCTTTTCTCCCTGCATGAATCCAGTGAAATGCAGCTGCTCTGGTTTTGGTCCAAGTCAGCCACAGAAAAATGTCAAATCATCTGACGAGTTCTTAGCAATGTTGATGTGGATTTAAATGCTATCAAGCAGTGAGAACAAATGTATTTTTAGATACCCCTGTCAAGTGTAACATTGATGCATCCAATCAGTTCATTGTCATAAGTGCCCTTTGATTTATGTGGAATGTTTTCCACATAACTTTCTTGGTGACCTTTTAGAGGAAAGACAAAATGGGAAATAACCTGAAGAAATGCCCAGTCAGCTTTTTGGAGACTTGCATTTGATGTTATGTCATGGTCACACACAACCATGTTTAGAGCTAAACAGCAGTGACTTACCACACTCCTGACCTGCCACATTTGAGGTGTAAGTCAGGAGGTTCTCTGAGAACACTGCAAAAGGTGCACAGTCCAGGCATACATTTGCTTCTGTCCTAGGCTGGCG